GACGCCAAAAGTTTATCAACAGCCTGGAAGTCCTTTTATGATAACATAGATTAAGTATCGCAACCCCATATGTGGCATTTTTATAGTATTAATTGATATATAATGTTGTTATTTTTAATTACTTAGGTTTAAACCATACGTTTTATAAGTACGCGCATGCGCTTTAGCGTTAAGTTGTAAAGAAGCGATGGAAAAGAATTTTTTTGTATTTTTCGAATACTTTGTTCGCTGTAGAGTTCGAATTTTGAACTGATGATGATTGATTAAAACGATCAAAAACGTTTTTCAACGCATTACAAGTGTGCTGCAATAGAGAAAGGTGTTTGTTTTATTTCTGTATAGGGATTGAAGCTATTAAATTTTGATGGTTAAAGATCATTCAAGATATGATACGACCCCCTGTATCTTCCCATCCCCTGGGGTGATAGAAGGGTCTCATATATCGAGTGGGGTTGGACTTATTGATTTTATTCCTTATCAGCATTTACAACTTTTTAAAAAAAATTATATCTACCCTCAAAATTAAGCTTTTTGCTATTTTATAATAATAATATAAAAGTTTTTTTAATAAAATCTGATAACAGATAGCATCGTGCACAGTTTTAACTGTTTCTGGGAAAGTCATGTAACTCATTACTGAAAAAATTTTTTTTTTTTTTGAATTAGAAATTTAAATTACTTGATTATTCTTTGGCTTTGTTTTAAGTCTGTTAAAGAACCTAATTTGGCCTAAAAGTAGTAGTTAGCCTACCTTCTTGTACTAAGATTAATAATTAGAATTAACAGCTTTCATTAATATGTATATGTGAAGCAGATGATGTTTCTTCTGTTTAATTTTCTTAAAAATATTATATAGCTAAGAATTCTTGCAATTTGAAATGCTGAAAAATGTAGTAATATGATAAAACAAAAATTTCCCCCACACTGGGTCATATAAGACAAAAAATGTACACTCTGTAACCAATATCTGGCGTGAAAAATTCAAATACAGGTTGGCAGACGCTTTCGATGCCCCTCCTGGGCTCTTCTTCAGGCCAAATTTGCTGTAACTGGATTCTTATAATCGAATGGTTTTTTTGATTATAAGAATCCAGTTACAGCAAATTTGGCAGCTGTTTGATTTTTTTTTTTTAAACTTAATTGTGTACATAGAATCTTTTTTAGATAATTGATTTAGATTGTCTTTATCAGAGAGACATTTACTTTACATTTTGGGTTTCATTTAGTTAAGACATTGGTGTCGTAACTAAATCCTTTAGTATTGACCTCATAAAATTGGCAATGCTTGTCTAATTTTTACTTGTTTTAAAGACAATATTCTCTATAAAATGTATTATTTTTTTAAAAAAATAAATAAATATTCTAT